TTCATTAAGTTTTCTTCATAGACAATCATATTTTCTGTGAACAAAACTATTTACCTTCTTCTTCCTTTCCAATCTAGATAACTTTTATTTCTTATTCTTGCTTGACAACACTGTCTAAAATTTCAATGTTAAATAGAAGTGGATGTGAGTTAAAAACTTTTTCTAGTTGGGGTAGTGGGAATGGCACTATTTCCTTTATTTGAGTGCTGGGCATTGTTTCCTTTAATCCTTTCAGATGGCTCTTTTCCTGTTCCTGGATAGCTGCATCGTATGTATACGTTGATCAGCATTTTGCTCTAGGAGGAAACACTGTAGCTCTCTGAAATTCTTTTGTGAGCTGCAGATGCTTTAGTTCCTCTGGTTTCTCATCTTCATCTCCCAGCTTAAAAAGCTCAGTGGTTTCCTCCTGGGCTTCCCCTCCCTTTGCTACGTCCAGAAATTATGTTGAGATTAGTAAATGGGTATGATTGTTAGGTTTCCCATCTGTTCCATCACTTTTTTTTCATTGTTTGATATCCTGTGTCTTAAAAACCATTGTTTTCATTTATTTTGTCTATTTTGGGGGAATGGGTGTGGGGTTTTCAGGTAGGAGGTTAAATCTGGTACCTGTTACTCTATCTTTCTATCTTGGTTGGTAGTGAGAATCTAAAGCTTTGACTATTTCTTATCTTACAAAACTTCACTTAAATGTTTCCGTGTTAGATAGGCCATTCTCTGATAACACCCTCAAAAATAGGTCCACCTTATCTCATTTTTCCCTATCATTGCATTGCCACCTTTCTTCAATTATCTATGAATTTATTTATCTATATGTTACCTATTATAAATGAAAGGAAAAGACCATAACTGTTTCACTCATCACTATATACTTAATGCCTAGAAAAATGTTTGACATAAGAGATGCTCAATAAAATATTATTTGAATGAATGAATTTTTCCCCATTTATTGTTCACCATAATTTTTGCTGATTTTTGTTTCTTAAAGCATTCCTTCTTTAATTTTTTTTGTTTACTTCTCCATTCCTGTCTTTCTGTTCATTTTAAAATACTTATTTGCCTTTCTTGGCTAGTTCTCTTATCATCCCCTTTTCTTTTATTTCTTCTTTATTTTTCAGATGTTTTTAGGATCTGTTATCATCCCCCTGCCCTCTGAAAAGAAAGGGATAATAGGCCCGGGACTCTCCAAAGGATCCCTTGTTGCATAACTAGAAATTAATGCACAACTAGAAATTGATGCACAAGCAATGTAGACAATCCTCTAAATTAAGCCTACTTTTCAAACTTCCCTTAATTCAAATGGCATAATATCAGTTTTTAAATAGCAAAATTTATGTGATTATCACAAGTAGAACTGTTACTAGGCAATGAGGCAGCAGCCTGAGTTTTAGCCCTAACTATTCCACAGATTGCTTATGATTCTGGAAGTTATTTAACCTCTCTGTGATGTGGGTTGGTTCATCTTTTATAATAATTATAATAACTAACATTTATAGAATCACTTTTATTAACATTAACCCAGAAAAGTTCTACAACTCTCTAAGGGAGATAGAAATTGCGATTTTTACTTTATATATTAGAAGAAAGAAACTCAGAGTGATTAAATGCCTTGTTTAAGATTATAAATGTATGAAGTAGCTAATAAATGGAAAAGGTAAAACAATATAAATCTGATCAGATGTCTGCTGTTCTTTTCAAAGCGTTTTTCTGCTTCTAAAAATCATAATCTGTGAAATATGAAGGTTTTCTCTCAACTACAAAATTTTATTATTCTATGATGTGAAAGTTTTGCAGATTGGTAATTTAAAGATTTGGGGAGATCAGCTGCTTGGAGCCTAACCTATGGAATAAGTCGACCAGTAAAGGAGTCATTGATATAATTTCATTGATAGTGTGCAAAAACTGAGGTGTTTTCTGATTATAAAATAAAGGACTTGGTTTCCAGTGTTCCTGAAACTTTTAAAAAGACACTTAGAGATCCAAGATTATACAGTGAAAAGCCTATCGAGTAACTTTAGTGTCAGATAGGCATAAGTTTGGGTCCCACTTATTCTGTGTGACTTTGAGAGACTAATTTCATTTTTTTCAACTTCAATTTTCTCATGTGTAGAGAAATATACTAATATGTACCAATCTGCCTCAAAGGGTTATAATCACTATTAGATAATATAACACTGAGTCAAATTGACTAGCAGAGTAGAACACATAATCAATGGAACTGGGTTCTATCACCCCAAATATGAACAATGCGTATATGCTTTTCTGAAAGTTAAGAAACAATTCATGAAAAGGCTGAACAGTGTCTACTGTAATAAAGTGAGACTATAGAAATATAATCAGATTATATTATCCAATAGTTAAACTTCAAGTCAAATTTTCATAAAATGTATTTTGAAAAGCAATTGTAGGACATACCTTTGAGTGGTTAAAGAATCAATCCCTTTTCATAATATACAACATTGATCATTCAGAGAAGACTTTTAGGAAATCTGATTTTAAATCTTAGGGCTTGTCTGAGCCCCTGTGGAGCTCACTGGTAGAGATACAGAGGATTTTTTTAAGTCCTTCTACTTACTTGATTTTACTTCTGACTTAAAACGTTAGGTCTCTAGTTAGAAATTATGATTACTTTTGCAAAATTCTGGTGAACTCAGCACCTAGTTCTTCTCTCATTTGTCAGATTTGAAAAGTTCTCTGGTAGTTCATGTGAGAGAAAAAATGCCTGCTGCCGTGCTCTGTCTATCCTACTGACATCATCATTTACTTACAGATCTTATGACTTTTGCTAGATGTAGAGAATATAAAGAATTTTAGATATGATCTTGAGATTCTTGTCATGCATTTGGAAAGGCAGAGCATAAGTATAAAAGTAAGGAGCCATACAAATGAATCCAGGCTAAATGTCAACTAAATGGTTCAAGCAAGCCTGTACTGTGTACAAACCTGGACACTGGAAGCGTTTAAATAAAGGAATTGGCACAACGGGGCTCTGATGGTTGTAGGAAAGGCTTACTATAGAAAGTAAACTTTTAGTAGGGCGTTTCCAGAGAGGGAATAATATGAGTAAATCATAATGGTAGTAAGATACAAAAATTTGGCTTAAGAGGAGAATAGTGGAAAATCCATTTGAAGATGTTGATAGAAATTATACTTTAGAGGATCCTGAATGAAGGTTTTTAAAAAAAAATTCTGAAGGAAATATAAGAAATATAATAAAATATATTATTGAGATTTCTCAGAACTTTTTAAAACTTTACATCATGGCTGATACTATCGGATCCTGATGATCTAAGAGCCCGTTTCTGCTCCTGATCTTCAGTCTCCAATTTAGCTTCTTACCATAAAATAATTACAAGTTTATTACAGAAAAATCAGAATATGTTGTAAAGCTAAAAGAAGTCTATAAAATCCACAAAGTGTTGTTCCAGAAACTTTTCTGTCTCTACACACACACACACACACACACACACACAATGTAGGAGATCCTACCTTCAGAAGGCTAAACTGGGATTCTGAAGTCTGAATATGTGTATTAAACCATGCTGAGACTATTTACAGAAAAGTTTTGGCTGAAATCCTTTATGTGGTGCAGAGGATGGGTGTGAAAAAATGGCACAGAGCAGGAATCAGCAAATTTTTAATGTAAAGAACAGGACAGTAAACATTTCAGGCCTTGTGGCCATATAGTTTCTGCTGCAGCTACTCAACTCTGCCATTGTAGTGTGAAAGCACTGAAGGACAATATATAAATGAATAATTGTGACTATGTCCCAATAAAACTTTATTACAGAAACTGAAATTTCATACAATTTTCAGATGTCAAGAAATATCATAGTTATCATAGTATCAAATAAGCTTCTGTTTTAGGAGCAGCAGAAGCCAACATAGATACCAATATTCTCACACATGGCAACAGGAACAGAGAGAGTGGGAAGGATTCCTAAAAGGGGGTGCTCTGCTAGAGTAGAAATCTAGAGAATATTTATGAGCAAAAATTACCCAACTTCTGGACACTCCCAGGAACATTTTGAGGATTTCACAGAGACTGACTTATGTAAGCTAAGGGCATAAACCAGTTAAGTTTTAGGTTATGTTACTGATAAGATTCCATTAGTATCTATGAACTGGTGAGGTCTGAAGAAATTCAGGTTACAAACAACATATATGTGTGAGTGTGTGTATAAAATGTATGTGTTACACAACTCTAAGGCCATTTTTTTTTACATATTGTAAAGCAGCCTGCTTTTTAACAGAATATATTAACTTTTTTTATGTCAATAAATATTTACCCATAACATCACTAGTGTCATCTGTACCTCCAGTCACACACACTCTCAGTCTTCATCCTTTCTATACCAGTTTTTATACTTGCTTACTCTAGACAACTTCGGATCTGTGTTTGCTACCATGGTAAATGTTGATCTTATTTACTCATTTACTTTTTACCTTACTTATCCTACTTTATAATGTTTGGGTGCCTTAAATCACCATAGAAATATGTGTTTGTATATTTTAATAAAAATAATCAGAAATCAGGAATACTTAGTTATCTTCAAGGGATATAATTATTTAAAAGAAGCAAATGGTTAGTCCCTGGTTAGAATAGTACTATAAAATGGCCAAAGCATAAGGCTGCCAAAATAAGAAAGCATTGACTTATTACTTATACTGGTATCAGTAATAAGTTTTATTATTTACAGGGCATCATAGCTCTTCTTTCTCAAAATAAAAGACAGTGACTGTTGGAATAGCAGGACATGGTCTGCATGGTTTGAAATAAACAAAAACAATGGGTATGATTGAATGGGTACAGGACAATAATGGATTGAAATATTTCTATAATAATTTTTATGAAAATTATCAGGTTGCACACCATAACAAAACAAAAATTTGCATGCATGCTGAATGTGTTTTAAGAAACACATTACTGAGCACTGATGTATGGATTTAACTCAAGCATTATGACTTAAAAAGGCTATTTGCCTAACCTTTATATAACTTACTCTGATAGGAAGTACGGATCCGTTTCGTTAAATCAGGATAAAAGTTAGACAGGCCACGCATGCAAAAGTTGTCTTTGGAACATGCCAGAACACCAGCATCAGCAGCAGGCAGAAGAAAGAGAAAAAAAGTCTAAAGTGAAAGGAAGTGATATCATACCAGAATCTAGAACAGCCAAGATGAAGAAATTGCAGCAAGATTAGGTAATTAAATTAGAGAGGAGATATTAACAAAATAAATCAATTATAAAGTAAGAGGTGATAGATGAATGATGAGAATGTAATAATTTTAATCTTTATTTAAATATTTAATATAAAAATATTTATAAATATTTATATCTTATTTAAATGTCTTATAAAAGTAGATGGCATATTTTCCTTACATGTTTTTACAAAATACAATTATTTGGCTTGTAACTAATATGTATAAATTATTTCATTAATATAAAAATGATTGTCTTTAATCCTTCCACAATTAAAAAGAAAGCTAAAGATTTCTGTCTTTAATATTTCATTGTTATAATATAAAGTGAGTTCTGATTTTGTTATCTTGTACACTAAACACAAACTGAGGTTATAACTTCACAGATTTTCCTGATTTTAAAGTCATCAATGTTCTAAGCTCTAGTAGTAACTGTTAAGGTTCAAGCAGTTTAAATTAAATTAAATAACAATTACATTACCTTTGTCAAAATATATACTTTTTTTGCCCCACTGTGTATATCCAGCAAGTGATTTAGATGTTATCATAGGATTCACAGCTTTTCTGATTATATTGGTGCTTTTAGCATTGCAAACTGAACACCTGAAACATGGTTATTGTGACTGAGGAACTAAATTTTTAATTATAAATAGCCTACTGCCCCCAACACCTTTCTACCCTAGAGTCCATCAACTTCAAACTTGTCTTTCCCAATCATGAGGAAACCTTATGTTATGTGAATGTACAATTGCTTTTTATTTTGTCTTCCTTTCAAAATCTGGTAGTGATAGAGGCAAAATCTCTAGAATTTGAAATTTCTAGCTCTCTTAAAATATTGCTAAAATTTGAGATTCCTCACTAAAAACCCTTGGTTTCTGAAAGAGAAATTTTGCGCCCCTCAAAAAGGTCTAAACTGGTAATTTGGAAATGATTGAGTTTTGCAAAAGAAAGGATACCAAGAAGAGTTTCAGTATAACAATTTTCATTAGTCCAAAAAGGAAATTCATTTATTATCACATTTGGATGTTAAATTTGACATGCCTGCTATTTGGAAAATAACACCTACCATCATATACCCTTTTTATTTTTTATTATAAAATATTTTCCTATGGTTATATTTAGTAATGTAATCAATATTCAATAGATTATTTTAAATAATATATGTAGAAATTTTATTTTACTTATTTAAAAAATTTAAAAAGTTATTATTATTATTATTATTATTATTATTAATTTTAGAGATGGGGTCACACTGTGTTACCTAGACTGGTCTTGAATTCCTGGCCTCAAGAAATCCTCTCACCTCAGCCTCCCAAAGTACTGGAATTACAGGCATGAGCCACCATATCTGGCCCGAAGTAGAAGATTTTAAAGGATTGTCTAAAATAACACTTAATATTATAGAAGCATCTTCATCTCAACCTTTTGGCCTAATTTTTTTTTTTTTTACCAACCGGACTGTCAACGGACAGAAAATACGCAAAACTTTGGCAGTGTTTCCAAAGCCAACTATTTGGATATATACTAAAATTTCAGTAAAACTTTGGATAATTGGCATATCAAAGTTTGGCATTAAATCCTAATTAACCTTAAGTTTATTTTCTTTTACAGTTAAATATATCAATTTGTTGATCCTGCCAAAAAAAAAAATGCCATCTGTCATAGTACTTTAAAAATTTTAATGAAAAATGTTTACTGAATCGTGAAAATACCTCCAGGAAGGTCATCATCCAACAAGGAAAGGTGTCAGCTACACTATGGAATTAATTTAAAAAATTAAAAGTAGTGAATGACCTAAAACTATCTTTTTAAAGGGGCTAGATATTTTAGAAGTCAACCTGTTTAACACAACCATTGCAAGCAGTTTTTTCAACTACAGAGCCCTAATTTTCGTAGCATTTTTACATTTAATAGCTTCTTATTTTCTGCTTTTTTTAGGAATTAAACCTAAGAAACTTGAGATGCTTCTTAACTTCAACAGGAAATTAAAGTTTAAACTTACACACCCCTAACCCTGTCAAAGAGTCTCACAATGCTCCTGCCCAATTTATTTTGCTTACGTGATTTTGTAAATTATGTTGATTTTATTTTGCCATGCATTAGAATAGTATCACAGAAGAAAGACAAGAAATCTAAAAGTAAGAACACAGATGAACAAATCAAGTTCATAACTCATCTTGTTTTATCTCCTACCTGCAATGAACTGTTTGTTTTTTCGAGGAGACCGTGGTTGTCTCTGGTATAAGTCACTTGATCTATATAAGTCAATGGTCCCCATGCTTAACAGTACTGTCTTCTGTATAAAATCCACCACAGCCAACCCATTGCAGTTCCCAAATGCAACTCTAAGAGAGAAAAAAAAACAAATGCAACTAGAATGTATCACAACAAGCATGATTATTTTTATCTTCAAATCAATCATAGGATTATTGAAAAGTAATGTCTTAGGGTTGGGGAAGTTGGGCAGTGATTTGTATAAAGTCAAGAAGGATGCCTTGCCTTTCTGACGGATAAACTGCCTTCATATAATAGGCATACAATTTACTCCAAAAAAAGGATGATTGGCAATTATATTTTGCCAGCAGTTTTATCATGTAAGTCATGATTACCCAATCCGCTCTTTAACTAGACCTTATGTTTTCACAGAAGAATCACACAAAACCTTTTTGCTATGCAAGGGGGAGAGGTCAAGAAATGTCACTAGCTAAAGATGCTTACATATGTAATTAGATGCCTTTTTCAAATAAAATTATAATTACTAGACTCCGAATTAATTATCTTTAGAAAGAGAGAAAAATAAAAATTAACTTCATATATCAAAGGCATTGACACTATGTTAGAAATGAGGAGATATAAAAAGTTAAATTTTCTTCTTTTGTGCTCTTTATTTTGTGCCCCTTTCAAAAGATAAAGACCATTTGATTAATTACTTAACTAAATCTCCTGAGAAATTTAAAAAAGACAGCTCTTCTAAGTAGGCATTTCGATTGTCTTAACCATTAGGCATACATTAACTCTCATTTTTCTCCATTTACAATATGCCCTCTAGCTTAACAATTCTGTCTGTATTTTTGCTTTGTAAACTAAATAAACACTAGTTATATGAATGTTGTTTTGCTTGTTTTATATACATTCCGTGTTGTATTATTATTTAGATTGAATCATGTTTACAAACCATCTGCTTATTCTTAAAATGGTTCTTTCCACTACATCACACAAGTTAAAACACAACAAAAACAACACTTCTACCTATACTAGATGTTTTGCTAATTCACATAGAGCTCTACATCTTCCAGTAAGACAAACTTTGGAAAGTTAAAAAAAGTATTGTTATACTGGTCAGATCTGGGTTTAATTCTCATCTCTATCACTTATAGGATATGTGACTTTGAGAAAAATTAATGAATCTTGCTTGGCCTTAGCTTCTTTATAGTGATAATTACACTTCTACATTTATCTGGTTCACAGAGCTTTTATGAGTACCAAGTCAGAAAATTATTTTTAAAGTATGTTGAAATTTTTCCATGCAAAAAGAATTGATCTTAATATTATAAGTAAATGCAATATTATACATTACCAGTTATAACAAGTTAGTATCTTTAAACTTTTTATGTTAAAATATAGCAAATTACTTCTGCTTACAGACATGATAGAGTTTCTAAATGCAATAATGACTGAAAAAATGTAGGCAACTAGGATGCATGACCTTCTATATACCATAAATAATTATTTTTGTATTGGAATTAAAAATAAAAATACTGAGAAGTTATAGCTTAGGGCTGGAGAAGTCAGGCAGTAGTTGTCAGAAAGTCGGTAAAGAGACTAGATTTAACCTCCTATTTTAAATTACTAGAAAATTGGACAAAAACGTATTAAACAACAGTTTTCACATATTGGTCAACAGGCAACATAGAAGAAGAAGACAGAAGGATAGCAACCAAGGTAATACATTTCACAAATGTTCTGTGTTAGTGACTGAAGATAGTTCCCAGGCTTGGGTACAGGAAACTAGAACTCATAGAGAGGTTGATGGTCTCATCTAGTTGAGGAGGTCGAGATGATAGACTGAGGCTGCAGAAATAGCTAGAACTAATAAGGCAAAATAAACTGTACAGGGACAGAATACCAGAGATTTGCAGACAGATATCCTTGAGACTTTGGCTGTGTACTAATCTGTGCATCCATGTGTAGAAGCTACTCAGGGCCTATAAAAGAGCTACCAAAAAGATAAGGCAGAACAATTCCCAGAGCTCACAAAAGGCTAAGAATATTTTATGTTACTACCAACAAAACTGCAGAGATCTAATATATGGAACATCAGATCTAGGAGCGTCACTTCAGTAGTGAGACAAATTAGCTACAGATTCCAAGTAACTTAATTTCGTTTCAGGAAAAAATTGAACACTACTGAAAAAAGGCAAAAATACCACCAAAAATGTAAAATTCACAATATCCAGTATATAAAAAGTAGCAGGCATATAAAGAATCAGGAAAATATGATAACCAGAGGAAAAAATAACTCAATAGAAACATATCCAGAAATGAAAGAGATGATAAAACTAGCAGATGAAAAATATTGAACGTGCCTTTAAAAGAATATTACAGATAATCAAGAAGGTTGAGGAAAACATGAATGTGACCAAGGAAGGAATGGAAGACTTAAAAAAGCCAAAGAGAGATAAATGTATATGAAATTTAAACATTATCCACACATTAGACATTACACTAGAAAAGAATAGAGAATGCTATCCTCTGAATGTTTGTGTTTTCCCAAAATTAATATGTTAAAACTTAACCCCCAAGGTGATTGTATTAAGAGGTGGGAACTTTGGAAGGTGACTAAGTCATGAAAATGGAGCTCTCATGGATAAAATTAGGGCCCTTATGAAAGAGGCCCTAGAGAGCTGCCTCACCCCTTCCATTATGTGATGATGAATTTAGAAGGTACTATCTATAAGGAACAGCTTCTCACCAGACATCAGATCTACTGGTGCCTTGATATTAGACTTCTCAGCCTTCAGAACTGTGAGGAATAAATTTCTGTTGTTTATAAGCTACCCAATTTATAGTATTTTTGTTTACAACATTCCAGACTAAGTGAACCTGAAGAAATAATAGAAATTAGCTAAAATGAAATGAGATTTTTAAAACTTTAAAAAACAAAACTCCATAATTGGAGTTTCATAAAAGAAGAAGAACAGAAAACATATTTGAAAAAATGATAGCCAATTTAGATAAATGATAGACAAAATTTGAAGACAGTAATAAGCCTGCAGATAATAGAAACTTAAAGATCCCAAGCAGAATAAGAATGAAGAAAAATAAAAAGGCATCATAATCGTATTGCTGAAGACAACTAATAATGAAAAGAAAATGTTAAAAGCTGGCAGATAAAAAAGCATATTTCTTACATGTAAAAATTAAAATGATGAAATCATTTAAAAAAATTAAATGAAACTATACAAACCAAAAGATAATGGAGTGGCATCTTTACAGTAAGAAATAAAAATAATGTCAACCTAAAATTGTATACCCAGCAAATACATCTTTCAAGTGGTGGAAAAAGAATTTTTGCAAAAAAACCAAAGCTGAAGGAATTCGTCACTCACATAAATGGATTACAAAAATAATAAGGGAAGTCTTAGAAAAAAATGATTCCAGATGGAAATATGGATCTCCACTATATAATGAAGAGCAACAAAAATGTTAAATATGAAAAGTAATATTAAAGACTTTTCCCATTTCTTTAAAGGATAATTGACTAAAGCAAAATCAATAACAATGTATTGTGGGGTTTATAACACATGGAAGTAAATTTATGACAATAATGCAAAAAACAGGAGGATAAATAGAAGTATGCTGTTGTAAAGTTATTAAAAATATGAAAAGTGGTATCACTCCATTTATTTAACTACTTATTTGATAATTCAAAGATACATATTATAAGCCTGAAAGCAAACAAAAAAAAAACTAGAAGTATACCTAATAAATCAATAATGAAAATAAAATGGAATCATTAAAAGATATGCAATCTTTCCCTGAGAAGAAGGCAGAGAAAAAGAAGCGAAAAAAAAAAGGGTGGGGGGCAGGGGGACAAATAGAAAAACAAATTGGAAAATGTTTGGCTTAAATCCAGTCATGTAGATAAGCATATTAATGTAAATGATTGAAATACTCTAATTATGGGCAGAGATTGCTTGAGTGGATAAAAAGTAAGACCCAATTATATGGTGCCTACAACAAATCCACTTTAAATATAAACCAAAATGATGGAAAACATTTACAATGAAAACACTAATTTAAAAAATGCTGAAATGACTATACTAATATAGACAAAGTATATTTCAGAACAAGGAAATTTTGAGAGACATATAGGGAGAATGATTAAGGAATCAGTTTATTAAGAAGATATAGCAATCCTAAATGTGGATTCATCTTATGATAAAGCTTTGAAATTCATGAAGGAAAACCAATAGAACTGAAAGGGAAAATAGACAAATCCACAATTAAGGTGGAGTATACAAACATTCCTCTTTTAATAACTGACAGAATAATCAGAGAAAACAAATCAGTAAGGATACAGAGGTTGTGAGCAACACTATGAACCTCCTTCACAGAACTAAAATTTATGGAACTCTTGAATCAACATTCATAGTGGCATTGCAATTATGAAATACATAGGAATAAATTTAACAGCAAATGTGGAAAATCTGTACATTAAAAATTATAATTATTGTTGAGAGAAATTAAAGAAGACTTTAATAAATTGAAAGATGTACCTTGCTTAATGGTTAGTAAAGTCCCCAAATTGATCTACAAATTCACAGCAATTTCAAACAAAATCCCAGCAGACTTCTTTTTTACTTGAGAAACTTAAAACATGATTGTAAAAAATATAGAAAAATATAATAGACCTAGAACAGCCCAAATTGTTCTGAAAAATAAGGAAGTTTGAGGATACAGACTATATAATCTTAAGACTTAATTAAAAGTATTGGAATCAAGACAGGTTGGTATTGGTGACCTAGATATCTAGACAGACCTAGATATTGGTGGAACAGATGAGTACCTGGGAATAAACTCACACATACATGGTCAAATAATAATTGACAAAAGTGCTAAGAAACATATATAGTCTTCAACAAATGATGATGAAGCCATTGTGTATTCATAAGTAAATAATTGACTGCTCTCTTACCTTGGGTTATAAGTCAGGGCTTTTACCTACTTTCACTGGGGCTTCAGACTACTGCTCTGCATCCTGCTCCTACTGTGACCTGACAGGCCTCTGATGCACCCTGTTGTCACTGGACCCATGTTACTGCTATGTTCCATGCTATTACTA